CTCAAGCTTCGTAGTGTCATAAATCTTCTTCCGTTTGAAAAAAACAAATAAACAAAAAACAGTTATTCATTGGTTATTATCTTGCTCTTATCGTAAGAAAGGATCTGAAATCTTTTTTCTTTCGTCCCAAGGTATTTCTTTCTTTCGGTGAAAAACCCCCAAAAATAGCAGACACCTACATCCACCGTAGGTCTTGTGGTTGTTGAACCGCGCGCACAACCGACTCCCTCTCACCTCCTTTTACACGTACGCATGGAGGTAAAAATCAAAAAAATGGAGAAAAACCGCGAGCACCTTAATCGCCGCGGCTGCTGCGACATGATAATCGCTCGCTCTTATTATGATAATGATAATAATAACGGGGCTGCGTTGTCGAGGGGCGCCACTCGCTGTGGAAAAGGCGTGGCGCGACGCGAGACGACGATGTTGAAACCGATCCGAGTGGTGGGTACATATACATGCCCTCTCGGTCGACCTTCGGTCAGTCTACCGGGCGAGGGAGCGATTAAGAGTGCAAGAACAAAAAAGAAACGGAGCAAGTGAGCTGGGAAAATTCGAAGGGAGAGAAAGGCTGATTGTACGAGGGACTCGCGCGAGGCCTTATTCTCTCGTGGGTATAAATAAACTACAGCCTTCTCTTTGTTTTTGTTTTTTTTACACTATCTTGCCGATTAATGCACGTGCGTGCGTGGAAGCTTGTAAAAATGAAACTTTTGCGTACGCATGGATTGTAAGGGTGATTTCTATGGATGTTTGTTCTTTTGGCGCGTCTTGATGTTCCGGACAGATAAAAAACTACTTGTACGCGATCTCGTATCGAAAAAGCCGCCCATCCACGCCCAATGTCAGTGCCGATCGTACACCTCGTGGTACTTCAGTTTTCTGTGCACTTGGGCTACGATGATTGATTGAATGGAGGAGTGATAGTAAGAACAGGTTTACCAAAAGATTCTTTTTCTCGACAGATTTTTTTCACGTAGATGTATTTTTGATGCTACGAAGATGACGACAGCAAGGGGGTGTACTCCATCAATTTCGCAGCGAGAAAATCCAAGTGAAATCTAGCCAGAGTTATGCGATCGGTATTTTGTATACCTACTGGCGTTTTGTTGCTCGTAAATGAAGACTGGACTTTTGTTAAGAAGTTTAATTCAATTTTCAATTTTCAAATTACCAGTGCCGTATATGCAATTGTGCCAAAACATCCACAACACCATTTCTCCCTACGGCTGAACTTTCAGAGCAGTTCCTCAATATCAATTTTCATACCGCAACTAATAAAACGACTTTCCATCGCATATACTGGATATAAATATCATAAATATGCATAGATTCAATACGTACCGTGCGATTTTCAAAAAGCGAATTTTATTGCACAAGTTTTCTCGCATATCGAGCCTCAGAAAAACATGAGTAACGATTTTGTTACCCCGACAGATAGAAAAAAAAAAAAAAAATTGAATTAAAAGGAAAGGAACAAAGATTCTCGCGCGCACATCCGCATCCACGTCTACGAGAGGAAAAAGGCCTCAGTAACAGCGAAAGGAGCCACCCCAAAATAACACGCGACAACTTAAACGCCCAACAGCTTCGCAAGCCGCAGGGAAAATGCACTCCCCTCTCTTGACGGTGTAAAGCATACATTTACCCACAGAAAGTAGAGTCCCGGGCGAGTCCTTTCCCTTATCCATACACACACACACACACACACGTGGAAGGTTAGGTTGTGTGTGATGGATTATGCTCACACGCGACACTTAATTTTACACACACACACACGCAACGGCAAGGTCGACCGAAAATCCGGTTGCCACGCGCACCAGTGCTTTTGCAGTCGTCGGTTAAACAGTTGCGCAATAACACAGCGGCGATTGCATTCTGCGCGCTCATACGCCTGTAAAGTTTCGCTCTTTCTCTTTCGATCGATCTCACTCTCACTCCCTGCGTGCTGCAGCTATATATGTAAATTTTTTTTATCAACCGCGAGATCTCGCCTTCCTCCTTTTTTTTTTTTCTACATCGTGTCCAATACCCCTCCCTTGGCTAGGTCGGGTGTACACGCGCCGATTTTTTTTTTTTTTTTTTCATTTTCAGCACTCCGTCGTCGCCAAGGCGGTTTGTTACTGTCGAATCCACGTTGCGAAAGTCACACATGTGTACGTGCTATCAACGCGTATACGCGTTCGTATATTTATATGGGTTGTGGTACTTTTACACGCATTGGCGAAATTACAGGTGCGGATGCCGTTTTCGGATTTTCTGCTCGTGTTCCTGTTTTTTTCCGCCTCCCTTCCCTCTGCGCCATCATACGGTGTACTGGCCAGTGCCTGCTTTTGGGGCGAAAAAGCTGCCTCACAACGCGGACAGGGAGTTTCATATCAGCTAATGGTGTTTGAACGAGCCGATGTTTGGCTTGGGTGGCATTTGCACAGCTTGGTTCTTGGGAACATTTTCCAATGTCAAAATAAAACAGGTGCTGCTGCGTATGTTTTTTTATCGGAGCTGCGCACTTTCATTCGTGGTTTTAATACCATTTTTACAATCCACTGCCGTCACTTTGCAGCTCTTGTGGAAAAATGTGGTGGCTCTTTCATCCTCTATGATAATTGGTATCGAAAAATCCAAGCTCACCGTGCAATTAGGTTGTAGACTCGTTCCCCGTCCATACAGGCTGGAGATTTTACGAGTTCGCGAGATTTTTTTTTCGCGTAAAATTCATTTTTCGCAACAACATTGTGGGTAATACATGGGTATTTGCTTCCGTGCGCCGAGTACATTAAAATTACAAGTCGAGCGTTTGCAAACATGTCAGGTATACGGCAAACTCAATCTGGGCGTCGAAAAATCTCGATGATTATATTAATAAGCCGAGCGAGAGAGCGAGCAATTATGTATAATGTAGAAAGTCGTCAAACTGCTCATTGAATGCTCCCCACCGTGGCGACGAAGTCGCTTCGCTAATAATCGACCTACACTTTTACGTGCACACAAAAATATATAAACACTAATCGATCCATTCTCTTAATAACTAGTTATCGAAGCGCCGAGAGCATTTCGCACTTTCCCCCGAAAAACTTTTACAAACCATCGCACGCACGAGTACCACGTGTATATATGTATAAGTATAAGTATCTCCGCGCCCACTCGACATTATCCGTTTTGGTGTCGAAAAAGTGCATGATAATAAGCAATCTACCAAGGCGTCAGAGTATTGCGCAAAACGCAATCACTCGCTTTTTTCTGGGCTCGAAGGAATAGGGATGGAGCGAAAAAGTAAAACACAATTATTGGAAGCAAAAGGATACGGAGCGAGTGGGTAATCCTCGATCTCTCCCAGCGCGTGTCCCAGTGTTATGTCAGCGAGTGTTGTGCGTGCGACCATGTAGCCGTGCTTGTGCAGTAATAAAGCGATCCAAGCAAAACATCGATTGAAATTGCGAAACTGCACGCCCATTTTTTTTTATTATTTTTTTTTTTATTCGCGTCGCTGTGTCATGGGAAATAAAGAGCTTCGATGGAGTTTCAATGCGTGGTGTTTGTTTACTCGTATGTAATTGGATTTAACTGGGCCTAAAAATTACCATAAAATTCGCCACACGCTGCTAAACTGTTGTTACACACTTTATAATAGTGGATTGAAATTTTTCAGTAAATGTTTTTACCAATTCCAAAAAAAATTTGGTCTTAATTTACGATGGCAAGTTTCATGAATTTCTTAAAATATTTCAAACAGAAAAGATTGTTACATTTTTTTATGAATTTCGCAATTGTTGAGTTAAAATTTTTGAAGTCTACCGAATTAAAGCTTCAAAGAACTTGTTACGAAATTTGATGAATGAGATATTGCTAAATTCTTAATTATTTTTTAGGTCTTTTTGGTCTATATTAAAGAAAATCCATCGTATTGTGAATCTGTGTTTTTATATTTATTTATTCTCAAAACTTAAAAATAACGTCTTAATTAATAGTATTATAAAATTCATTAGAATTAATTTTTTAAAAGAAAAAGCTTAGTATACTAATTTTTAAGATAAGCTTGGAGTTCAGCAAAATACTTAGCAACCGTTTAATACCAACCAATTTGATAATGCTGAATCGACATTTTTGTTTCGTTTTTTAATTAAAGCTTTTCTTATGTTTCTAACCATCATTTCGTCGTGATATTTTCATCAGATCGATATATTCTTCGATTACATTACCTCAGATGCAATTACAAACGCATGTAACTCCAGGCAAAGGAAATCGATAGCCACAGCATATAATGATCAATGATCCCAATCGGTGTTTGATGATTTACCTCTGCTCTCATGGGTTGCTAAATTTTCTGCACTTCCCTGTACATGCCGGCCATTAATACGATGAGTTATTTAAGCGGAAACATTGCATACGCATGTACTTACAAGTACACATACATAAGTTTGATCTGTACGTTTCGGTCGTGGGATTTTGCAAGAAAGTCTTACCGAGTATATGTGAGCGTTTTGGAATTTTTCTGAAATCAGCTGCTTCAAAGTTTGATTCAAGAATCGTGAGATTGTGCAAGTGCTTTTTTTATATTTTTAAAAACGTTTTTTATAAAAAACATAGAAGAAATTGAAGGATTCTTAGTTTGTGAGGTAAATTCGGGTTAGCAGGAAAAAAAATAGAATAACAATTTTCATTTAACTTTACTGGTGAGATGTCAAATTAATGTCTCAATTGTCCACAAATGGTACACTCGCATATTTTTCCGTTTTTAGTTTTTTCCTTTTCCGTTTTTATTTACGCGTCGCTATAATGTTACTTTATGTATACCAGTTATTAAAAATATAAAAATAATAACAGTACTTTTAACATTCCGCATTTACCATCTTTTCACTTACGCCAATGCTAATTCTATAATTGTCCTCCATACTGTGGGCTACGAAATCAAACTCAAACTTTTTATTTGCAAATTTCAGTTAGTTTATTGTAAATTGCAAAAAGAGCATAAAGTATATTCCATCACCATATGCATTACAATGGTAAATCAAAGAATCATTAAAGCCTGTGGTAAATAAATAGCTACAGATTGATTTTTACAACTGATTATTCCTTCAATCCCAGAGGAACAGTATATTCGCCAAATTATGTCTCCTTTATCTTAAAAATAAAAAAATATCTAAAGCCCTCCAACTTTCGCTGTTTCAGACTGCACGAGGATAACGCCGAGGAGCCCACGAGCAAGCCGCAATGCCGCTGGCCTGGACTTTGAGTGCCCCGAGGAGTTTGGCTACTATCCGCATCCCCGCGACTGCACGCAGTATTACGTCTGCGTCTTTGGTGGTGCTCTACTCGAGTCATGCACCGGTGGACTTATGTACAGGTTCGTACAACATGATTAATCGTATCGAAAAAAATTAAAAACCACAAAGATCCAATTGCCCATCGCCATAATATATATCCTGAAAGGAAAATATTACCACTGACGAGAGGCGAATCGTTTACCGATCGACTCTCTTTTTCCCTCTCCCGTACCCCCCATCGGACAAGGCTCTTTCTCCGTTGGCGTGTGACGAACTTTTTAGAAATTACGAGCAAGTCGAGGCGACACAATTGACGTAATTGTTGATGAAAGTGAACTACAATAAACCTCGAGAGCTGCAAGAACGCGCTCTCTTATGCAAGCATTATATATATATATATA